TATTAAATAAAATTAATAATAACTAAGTTTTGTTTGTTCCAACTAAAATAAATCTGAAAAATATAAATAACAAAATAAATCCTAAATGGAAATGAAACTAATATCATTTTGATCCTTGCATCACTTGCCGAATCGAGTTTCGAACCCCGTCAGACCTGCTTTCCTGAGAACAAGGTCTCCTACTTTGAATGTTCGGGGTCGAACTCGTTTGTTGTAGAAGTTTGCTATTTTCTGCTTGTAAACTAGAGTTCGAAGTCTTGCTTCTTCTCTAACGTCATCAAGCAGATCAAGGTTCTCCCGAAGCAGTTGTCCATTTCGTCCTTCATCGAAATGAATGACCCTGAAGCTTGGAACTCCTATCTCGATAGGAATGACTGCTTCGGTACCAAAGGCCAGATGATAGGGTGTTTCACCTATTTCAATTAATTATAACTTTAGAATGCGCTTTACGCGTTATGTATATTTGCTCTAAGGTAAAGTCGTAACAGAAGAAGTAAAGTAATGTAAAAAGTAATCAAATAGACCTGATTTGAAACGATACCTGTGGCAGTTCGGCTCGTGATTCTGTATGCCCAGAGGACGTTGTTGAGCTCGTCCGCCCATTTGGCCTTGTGTTGTTCCAACCTCGGCTTTAAACTTTCTAAGATGCATTTGTTAACAGATTCGACCATGCCGTTGGACTCCGGATGGTAAACCAAGGTGAACTGCAATTTGATCCCGTAGCTGGAACAAAAATCTCGAAAAGAGGTGCAGTTAAATTGGGTTCCATTATCAGCCACAATCTGATTCGGGATCCCATATCTGCAGATGATTGAGCTGAAAACAAAGTCTTCGACCTGCTTGGAAGTAAGACTGGATAATGGCCGAGCTTCGACCCATTTTGTGAAATAATCTACACCAACAATCAGGTGGGTTACACCACCAACCCCTTTCACGAACGGACCCAAAAGATCCAATCCCCACTGAGCAAATAGCCATGGTGCTACCAGAGTAGTGAGCTCTTCTGCAAGCTGGTGAGTCAGGTGCGCAAAGAACTGACATTTCTGACACCTTTGTACAAACTGAGTGGCATCCTTGTACATGTTTGGCCAATAATAACCCTGTCTGAGGACTTTATAAGCCAAAGTTCGAGCACCTACGTGACTTCCACAAACACCTTCATGTACTTCACGAAGTGCATACTCCGCTTCGTAGGGGCTTAAGCACCGTAGAAGAGGTAGAGAGAAAGATCGCTTATAGAGGACCCCATCGACAAGTGTATACCAAGATACTTTCTTCCTCAACTTCATTGCCTCCTGCATGTCCTCAAGTACTATCCCATCTCGTAAGAAGGAGAGGATTGGGTCAGTCTAGCTTGGTGTGCCTGGGTCTGTGTTGATCTCCATCACCCGTGGCTTCATGAAGCTTGGTTCATCTAAGACCTCCACAAAAACTGATCTGGAATGTGAAGAACTATCAGAGGCAAACTTAGAGAGTGAATCTGCCTGTTCATTCTCAATTCGGGGGATTTTGCTCAGGCAGAATTTCTGGAATTTGCACTTCAGTTCGGCCACCAGAGCTACATATTTCACCATCACAGGATCAACGACTTCGCAGATTGAGTTAATTTGGTTCACCATCAGCTGGGAGTCACTGTATACTTGGATCGCACTGAGTTTTAATTACAACGCTAGTTGCAGACCAAGTAGCAAGGCTTCATACTCAGCCATGTTGTTTGTTGCGTCGAAGTTAAATTTCAAAGCATGTTCACTTCGGTATCCATCTGGGCCGATCAAGAGAGCACCAGCTCCTGAACCTTTGCTACTGGATGCCCCATCAACATATAAGGTCTAGTCATTGGGCTCCGGAGTAGGAACGGAATTACATGGAGTGCACTCTACAATAAAATCTGCCAATGCCTGAGCTCAGATTGCAGATCTCTACTGAACTGTTATCTCAAATTCCCCCAGCTCTACTGCCCATTTAATTAATCTTCCAAAACACTCAGGCTTTTGCAGAATCTGCCGAAGGGGTTGGTCTGTAAGAACAATGATCGGGTGCGACTGGAAATACGGTCTCAACTTTCTGGCCGAAGTGACAACTGCTAAGGCTGCTTTCTCAGCTATAGGATACCTCAACTCGGCTCCATGCAGCACACTGCTGATATAATATATTGGTTTCTGCTGCTTGGCTTCTTCTCTCACCAGAACCGAACTAATGGCTTCATCTTGAATTCCCAGATATAAATAGAGGATTTCTCCATCTTTGGCTTTAGTCAGTAGAGGTGGTGAGCTAAGATAAGATTTCAGCTCGTCGAATGCGGCGTAGCATTCTTGAGTCCACTCAAACTTCTTCTGTTTACCTTATTCATCTTTCTGGGCAACTGACCTCATAATCTTGAAGAACGGTAGGCACCTATCTGCTGACTTCAATATGAACCGATGAAGAGCTGCAACCCTCCTAGTCCACGTATGCACTCCGGATCGACCTGCAAAGCCCCGAGGTGGGTCCTCGAGGTAGACACTCCGATGCTTAAGTCAGCAATAATCAGGGCTACCTTTAGGGTGGAGAAACAAGGAGCTTAGGGTTGGTCTCAATTACCTTTTGGCGTGGCCCTTGAGGGGTATTTATATGTTCCGATGAAGAACCCATGTGGCATGCCAAGCAAGATATTTGGGATCCGATGTGTATCTCCAGGCAGTTATTTCGGGACCGGGAGATTGAGCCAAGCAAGATATTCGGGATTTGATGTGCATCTCTAGACAGTTATTTTGGGACCGGGAGATTGAGCCAAGCAAGATATTCGGGATTTGATGTGCATCTCTAGACAGTTATTTTGGAACCGGGAGATTGAGATATATTTAGATGTAGGGAGGTCCATCGTAACTGCTGTGCAGCTGTTCGAGCGGGAAGCTCTAGATTTACTATTCACTCCGGTTGTAAAGGAATTACTGTCGTACGTCCGAAGTTGGGCACCTCGGACCTGCTCTTACACTATCCCTTATTTTTCATAGAGAGAGAGAGAGGTATAACAACCACAGAAAAGAAAGAAAAAAAAAGATGGAGTGGTGTAAATTTAGCACCAACCTTCTCGGCCATGGCTGCTATGGATAGAATTAATTAAGGCAAGCTGATTCTTAAGACGTAGGGCGGGCAAGGGAGGGGTGTCTGGTTCCACGCATTAACAGTAGTCAATGGCACTCGTCAACGTTTGTTTTTCCACAAGTGGGTCTAATCGGACCAATCCTTTCCTTGCATGTGCTGCCTGTTATACCTTTCACTTTCACATGTACAAAGCTAATCAATATCCTTTCCCAAATACCCTAAATAATATTAAATTATATAGCACAATCGTAACCTACATGCAAAGGTAGAGCCTGAAAACAAAATTAAGAAATAAGTAAATATTTTTTAATTTTTTTTGTATTTTTGGTTTTTTTATTAGTTGAAATATTTTATTTAAATGATAAATAATACTTCATTATGATAATATTCAAATAATAAATCAATCAATTTAAATAATTTTAAAACATTATTTTTCCTATTTCAAAATATTAAACGAAAAAGAAATTAGTGAGATTTGAATAAAGTATACTAATTAAATTCCAAACGAGGCCAACAGCATAGCCAATGTAATGTGGATTTCGAGATAACAGTAGTTTCTTCCAATGACAGAGTAGCTTCTGCCTCTTTAACATCAATGGATATATAATTTTTTTTTCAACGAATTTGGAAGAAGTGGGGTTTGAACCGTTATTTAGGACAAAAAAATATATATTTATGTATGATTTGACGCTACTAGATCGAAGGTTCAAGTGCTTAATGGATATATAATTAATACCAATTATCCCTTTTAATTACATTTTTAGTAATTAATGGTTAAAGTAATAAAAGTTTAGATTAATCATCAATAATAATTCTGTTTTTAATTCCTGTATACTTGGATAAAACAAATAATATGCATTTTCCCCTTTCTATTTCCCCTTTCTTCAAGAAAAATGACTCAAAACCCAGGTAAATGCTTTCTATGTCATACAAGTAATATATTTATCTATAAGAGTTCCCAAACATTTGAAAATATTTATTGTTGATTAAAAAGAAAATAAATTTGTGGATCAATGATTGGTACACTTTAATTTAACATAATTCACACATTTATTAAAAAATTATATGTTTCAAATTTGAATCGAAGACGAAAAAAACTAAAAACTACAAAATTTAATAATTAAATCAATGAGTATTGTGAGATGTGTTAAATTAGAAGTCGTACCAATTATTTTTCAAATTTGTGATCACAAAGACAACTTACTAATTGATTTACATATAATTTTTTCTTAAGACATATATATATATATATACACAAGAAAAATATTTATAGGTTGTCTTCTCAAATTTTTTTAAAGGACTTATCCAAAACCTCATCTTATAATTAATATTTTCAAAAATTAACTACTAGATTAATAGTTTTATTCATATAGATCATGCATGTAAATTTTTAAATTGATCAAGGAGTTTTAACTAGTTTGTTAATTAACAAACTATAACATCGTTGTCAATGATATATATAAATAATTTAATAATAATCTCTTTTTGTTAAAAATAAAAAATTTTGAGTTTAAATAACATGATAT